GTTGTCACGATCAGATTGATAAGTATTAAAAAATATTGGTAATATCAAGTATTGGCAACTATGAAAGGAACTGGGTATTCATAGACTCTTTTTCTTCATCTTAAAGCAGTCCTTTAGCATATTTTGCTGTGCTGGTTTGGTGGAGGTGTATTCTTTTAGCCTTCTTTTGTCTGGGAAACTCCTTATTTTGCCTTCCATTTTAATTGAGAGCCTTGCTGGGTAGAGCAGTCTTGGTTGCAGGCCTTTCTTTTTATTGCTTGGAATATTTCTTGCCACTCTGTTCTGGCTTGCAGTGTTTCTGTTGAGAAGTCAGCTGCTAGCCATATTGGGGCTCCCTTATATGTTACTATCTCTTTCTCTCTTGCTTCCTTTAGGATTCTGTTTGTCTTTGCTATTTGCCATTTTAATGATGATATGTCTTGGAGTGGGCCTCATTGGGTTCCTCTTGAATGGGACCCTCTGTGCTTCCTGGACTTGTATGACTTTTTCTCTCCTCCAATTAGGGAAGTTTTCTGTCATTACTTTTTCAAACAGGTTCTCTATTCCTTCCCCATCTTCTTCTCCTTCTGGTATCCCTATTATACGGATATTATTACATTTCAGGTTGTCCTGCATTTCCCTCAATGCCTCTTCATTCTTTCTGAGTCTTTTTTCATTTTCTCGCTCTTTCTGGGAGCTTTTTTCTACCTTGTCCGGCAGCTCACTGATTTGATCCTTAGCTTCATCTAGCCTGCTGTGGATTCCTTTTACCGTGTTCTTCAATTCAGAAATTGTATTCTTCATTTCCTCTTGTCTCTTATTGATAGTTTCTATGTCTTTTTTCATGCTGATATAGTTTGCAGTAAGTTCCTCATAGTTTCCCTGTAGTTTTTTGTAATTCTCTCTGAGCTCACTGAGCTCATTGAGCTTCCTTAGAACCATTGTTTGAAACTCAGTATCTGATAGTTTATTTGCCTCTATTTCATTTAGTTCTCTTTCTGGGGATTCCTCCTTTCCCTTCAAGTGGGGGGTATTTCTTTGTCTTCCCATTATTTGTGAGACTCTTATTTTTTGCTTTTGTTTCTTAAGTTGATCTGTCTTGCTTTCCTGACTTTTTGGTGTGAACTTCTATGGTAGGAGACCGCTGTTTTTACTTTCTGGATCTGCCTCTGATGATGTCAGATATTGTCCCTGTCTGGCCTTAGGCAGTCTGTTTGAGACTTCCAGAAATCTACTGTCTGTGGCTGCCTCCTTCAGCTGTTAATCTACTCACTCTGCACTCAGCTGTCTTAGACAGCTCAGGACAGGGTGGAGTCCCTCCTGGGGGCGGGGTTATTGGGTCCTCTCCCACTGCTGCCGTTTGGGGAAAAGTCAGCACCGAGATCCAGCCGGCTGCGCTCTCTGTTCTCTCCCCAAAGCCTCCGTCCCCAGTCTCTCCTCAAGTGTCTCCAGAACTCTTTCTGCCCCCTTTAGCCAGGGATCTACTATCTGTGGCTAAAAATGGGGTGTTATTTGTGCCGGACCTGTAGTAGGTATATAGTGTTATTTTATTATGGTTTTAATTTTCATTTCCCCTAAGCACTAATAATATTGAGCATTATTTCATGTGGTTATTTTCCATCTCTGTATCTTCTTTGGGGAAGTATCTGTTCAAATCACTTTATCATTTATAAAATTGGGTTTTTTCTTAGTCTTGAGTTTTGGTAGTTTCCTGACTACAAATCCTTTATCAGGTTTGTGTTTTGCAAGTATTTTCTCTCAGTCTGTGATTTTATTATCTTTCAAAGAGCAGAAATTTTTAATTTTGGTGAGGTCTAATATGAATTTGTTCTATGAATCATGCTTTTTGGTGTTGTATAAGTACCTACTTCTTGAAATAATTTTTTAATAGATTTTATTACACTATATTCTCCAGATTACCTTTTATGCCATTTATCAACTTACTGTCTCTCAGCTTCAGTTCATTCTTTTTGCCTGTTGGGTGAAAGTGGAAATGGACTGTTTATTATTTTCTTTGCCACTCAGCCTGATGTTGATTAAGCTTTGTCAGTAGGTGGCACTGGAGAGACATTGTTGGGGGAAAAGGATTTGCCTCCAGGTTCTGGAGGGCTTGCTAGTCTAGCACGCGTGGCTCCTGGAGCACCGGGCTCCTGCAGCGCACACAGCTTCCCCAGCGCACACAGCTTCCCCAGCGCACACAGCTTCCCCAGCGCACACAGCTCCTGCAGCGCACACAGCTCCTGCAGTGCACACAGCTTCCCCAGTGCACACAGCTTCCCCAGCACACACAGCTTCCCCAGTGCCCAACTCCGTCACACTCGGTGGCAGGTGGCCTTCCCAGCAGGTGGTTTTGCAGCAGAGAGGCTGGACAGCTTTCCCTGGTACCCTAAAGCAGTAGATCTCCTGCAAATTCTACTGGTGCAGCACCACAGCAATTTCTGTGCTTTTCAGGGTGCTATTCCTGTTCAGCAGAGTCTGGGTCTCGGATCAGGGGTGGAAGGGGTCTCTTCCTCGGGAGCTCTATCTCAGCCCCAGATAGTGGCTATGATATATTGTATTGTATTGTATTATATTATATTATATTTTGTTATTTATGTTATAATATTATATCTGTTTTAAAATGTTTACATTATATCTGCTACTATATTTTTTTAATTCTATCTGCTCTTTTTACCTTCTTTTGAATTCTCTTTCCTTCTTACTGGCCCACGAGTTGGCAAACTATGACCAACAGGCAAAATCTGGCCTACTGCTTGTTTTTGTAAATAAAGTTTTATTGAAACACAACCATGCTCATTCATGTATATATTGTCTATGGCTGTTTTCATGATACAACAGCAGAGCTGAGTTGCAAGAGTGACCATATGGCCCCAAAGTCTAAAATATTTATTTTCCTTTACAGAAAAAAATTTAAGAACCGCTGTACTAGCCCATCTCTCATTACTTCAATCCCCTATTACGATTAATCATTTTTTACATTAAACTTTCCCTGTTCAAATACCATGTTTTTTCTAACCTGATTGGACCCAGGCTGACACATCTCCAAACTCTCTGTCTCCATTTCCGCAGTTCACCTTGGGGCTTACCTTCCTCCAACAACCCCTAATGTTGGTACTCCTCAAGGCCCTCCTTTCTGCTTTTTGTCTCAGCCTCTCAAAGCAACTCATCTGTTTACCCACCTTCAGTTATCAGGTTTAACCTGTGGTGTTTATTCCATGTTCAGTGGATGAAACTGTGTGCCTATTTTGTGTGGGTGTGCAAATATGTTTAAGTCTCGAGCCTCAACTTTTGGCAACACGGCTCAGTAATTAAGAACACAGAGCCTGGAGAGAACCTACTATGCTTGAATCCCAGCTCTGCCATTCTGACTTGGGCTGACCTAGTTAACCTTCCTGTTACTTCAGTTTCCTTGTTTGTAAAATAGGGAAAATTATAGTACCTACTTTATAGAGTTGTTATGGAAATAAAAGGAGTAAATATATATAAAGCACTTGGACACAGCCTGGCATGTAATAAGCACTCCATAAGTTTTGGCTGTGATTGCTATTTCTGGCTCTCTGCCCTGCCCCATGCCTCAGCTAGATCAATGTTTCCCATTGCTCTAGTGCTTCCTGCTCAGACTCTGATCCCTCAAGCAGGCTCTTCCCTCTGCACAGAGCTCTCTTGCCTGTAGGGGTGCTTGCCCACTAACTTGTGACATTTCCTCAGCCTTCACTTCAAATATTTCCTCAAAGAAGATTTTCCTGATCTCCAGACCTGGATGGGACACCTGCCCTAAGCTCCCAAAGCTTTCTCTTTTTTCCCTTCATAATCCTTGTCATGATTTATTTATTAAACAGTGATCACCTGATTTATTTATTAAACAGTGATCACCTGTTTAAGGTCTTCCCTGACAGGCCGTAAGTCATTTCTGCCTGGCTCCCTGTTGGACCTCAGCACAGGAATACATGTGAAACAAAACATGCGAAAAGCTTTTAAGGTGTAAACCCTGTACAAATATTAGGCAACACAATAATGAACATGTGACAAAATTGGATAACCTAATATCAAATCAGTAGAAACTTGTATTGCACGAAGGAAACCCTCTCTTCTCCAATTGATATATCGATTTCAATTGACCTTGGAAGATGTTTCTTTCAATCAAATGGAAATGAATATCCAGAATACATTAGTGTGGTCCAATAAGGAACCACAGCCAGATGTTGACTAGCTAAGCCACCCCCATCTTTACCCCCTGGAAACCAGATACAGGCCTCAGATGGCAGAGCTGAAAGGAATGCCTGAACAGGGAACTTGTTTATTCCCAGAGAATTTTCATGGCCTTCATTCAAGACAGGATTAAACACTTTGATGTGTTGGCAAAACCAACTGTGGTGCTTACCTGAGAAATTCATTGCTTCCTTTGGGTTAGTATACGTTAAGTAACCCAAGTCATCAAGAAAACTATATTCTATTATCAAGCAATCATCAAACACCAGGAAAATTATGATAATTACCATTATAATTCAAAATAGACACAATGAAGTGATTCTCCTGGGAATGTGTTCAGGGACCAATTGCTTCTGCTGTATTGGAATTCCTAAGGAGGAAGAATTCTCACCTCCTCTCTTACCAACTGTCAGACGCCAACTGCTCCTTTCCTGTGTAAACGGCCCTAAAACATTTACCAGGTGCCGATATTTGATCTCCAGGATAAACCATGTGGTAACTGCCTAACGATGATTGGGGAAAAGTGAATCGGGGTCTGGACTTGGGCACCTGCAGAGAGAGGTCTGGGGAGATTTCCCGAGAACCGCTGGTAGCCAGAAGGGCCGTGGGAGAGCTGGTTGGATGGTCCCAAAGGCCCTGGACCCTAGATGGTTGGGGGTCTGCAGTGCACCTGCCATCCGGGTCAACTTCTCTCGGCGACCGGGAATTGCACGCTCCCTGCTTGTTAGCCCACGCCAGGCTTTGGACTACGTTTCCCAGACGGCTTTGCTCCCCGGCGTGGCTGTTGTACTTGACTAGGGCGTTCCTGGGAAGGGAAGCCACACTTAGCGAGCATCTCCCTTGGTTCCCCAACGCAGCTGCCGCCCGGCAAGATGATTGGGGTCCTGCTCCTGCTTCTCCTCCTCCCCCTTCTTCTGTACATCGCTGCCCCCCAAATCAGGTCTGTGCAAATGTAATGCCTTCTCTCGAGCAGTGTTTGGGGGGAGGGGTAATTAATCCTCAGTGAAGCTCTATTCTTCAGCAGAAGGAAAAGGAAACCACGTGGGCTGGGTTTGGTTGGTCGGAGGAGGTCCGGCTGCTCTGGATGAGGGGAGGGCGATACCAAGGGACCTCAGGACTTGGGAAGGAACCGCAGACCGGAGTTCCCTGCTTTCTTTCCCCTGGTCCCTTTTTTTCACCTAAGCAGCCCTTGCTTCCGGATCCAGTGAACCCCGAGTGCAAGGCTATCTCAGACACTTAAGTTTACAGTTTTGCAAAATAGGGTGTGGACCTCAAGACTGTTTTCCCTGTAGCTTCCACGCCCTGAACCAGCTCTATCTAGACTCTTGCTTCCAGCCTTTAAAGTAACAATGAAGCGATCCAACTTTGTGCTTTCTGAAACTGGCTCTTGACGGGGATCGTGACCTCTGCATCCCCATTGCTTGCTCTCTTGTTATCATTAGACTCGCTCTTTTTCTGGGGAATGTTGTGAAGTAAAGAAAATGAAAATCCTGAGCCCTATCCTGCTTTTGGAGCAGAATTATCGAGATGGGAATCAGGCCCTGGGGTTTTGGGGTGGGGCGAAGAGGATGAGGGTAGTGGACTCCCAACCAGGTGGTAAATCAGGCAATGTCTGGCTGAGTGCCCCCCGAGAATCAGCCGCGAACAGGAAAACAAGCAGCCCGCTGATTGGTTGTGAGTAAATCACCCGTGGTGACGGTGAACGGGAGACTGAAAGGACACCGAGGGGCGGGGTGGGGCGGGTCACCGGATGCTGGGATAGTCACTGTCCCAATGGAACTGGGAATAGTGCTAGATGATACTGTCATTTCTTACCGAATTCCCCTCTTTTCCTCTACCCCGCCTCCGTCGTGCCCCTCATCCAGTTGTATTTTTCCCCTCCTCTGAACACTCGGTGCTTCTACCCCCAGGCACACATGGGTGTCCATACTCAGAAGAAAAGTGCTGCTTTTTAAAGTCGCCAGGACAAGATCCTCTTATCTACATAGAATGTCAAAGAAAAGTTGAGCCTAAAATGAAAACAGTGCTCATATCTCAGCGAGATTTTTCTGAGGAAGATAATACTCCAAGAGTCCTGTTCCTAATCACCCAGTTAGGTCATGGGAGCTAGGCCAGAGCTGGATTTTCATAGTTGATTGTTCTTCTCATTCCTGGTGGTTGAGGAGAAGAAAGAGCTAAGTAGAGGGCCTGATCCATTGTCCCTCCTGGAGCCAAAGGGATGTGGGAAACTACCAGAGGAGGCTTATTCTTATCCGCCTGTTTGCACTAAGCAGGTAGCTTTAATGCCTAGGAGTGTGTACCTTGCAATTCCAAGTTCAATGAAAAAGGCTGAAATGCCCTTTAAAAGTGCATCTCCTGGTCAACAGATTATTTTAATATGAGTTTCAAGATTTGCAGAGAAGAGAACAATCTGAGGCCTGCTAATTCCTGTTTGTGTATTCATTCTTTTAAAAAAGGATAGTTCAGTGCTTAAGAACAAAGACTCTAATCAATTAAACCAGAACTTGAATCTCAGCTCCCTTTTGTACTTAGTTGTGTGTTCTTTGTCTTATTTTTAATAGTATGTGTGTGGGTTTTTTTCTGTTTCTTCTGTCCCAGTTTGACATGCTTTCATACTTTTCATGTTGGATTAACTGTTTATCAAGGCCATAAAAGTGCCAATTATTGCTATAAATGGATTGGCATAAGTGGACCAGTTTTTTCTTCCAGACTGAGTCTTGTGATTTCCTAAGCTTGTAGACGAGCTCAGACCAAAGTTAGATGCCCGGCTAAACAAATATTCATCCAGTTCTTGTACAGTAGGGCATAGCTCTAAGCAATTATTATTGCCTTTGTAATAGCCTCACTTTTATTCTTGAGCCTGAACAGAAAACTTTTCTTTCCTCCAACCTTCCTTAAATCTGTAAATGAACTGCAGTAGAAAGAACCAAAGCCAAGCTCATCCTTGGGACCTGAAGACACAGGGGGTTGCAGGAACCTCCGCTTGAAACAAGGAAAATGAAGAACTGATAAGCCCTCTTTCTCTGTCTGCAGGAAAATGCTCTCCAGCGGGGTGTGTACGTCAACTGTCCAGCTTCCCGGGAAGGTGGCTGTGGTCACCGGAGCCAACACAGGCATTGGAAAGGAGACGGCCAAAGAGCTGGCTCAAAGAGGCAAGTTTATCTACTTCTAATTCCCCCACTACTGCCGTTTTACCTCCCACAAAGATGACCATTCTCATTTATTTCCTCCAGCCCAGGGATTCAAGAACATTCCAAGTACCCCATTTATTTTCGATGCTCCATAGATAATGGATGCTTAAGGTTATCGACTTATTTTTCTTTCCTAATTTACTCATCAGATACCTCTGTTGTGAAGTAAGGGTAAAAAAATAAATAAAAGAGGAGAAAATAACATTCGGTATCAGTATCAGAGCTATAATACCTACCCCAAAACAGAGCTGACAATTTGTCTCTTGTATGTTGGTTAACAGGAGCCCGAGTATATATAGCTTGCCGAGATGTGCAAAAGGGGGAACTGGTGGCCAGAGAGATCCAGATCATGACAGGGAACCAGCAGGTGTTGGTGCGGAAACTAGACTTGGCTGATACTAAATCTATCCGAGCCTTTGCTAAGCACTTCCTGGAAGGTGAGTGTAGAACCTGAAACTGTTGTGGTTCTTGTGATCAATATGGCAGGCTTAGCTAAAAGGAAAAGATTGCTCTACCCCTCTAATATATAGAAATGCTAGATCAAATATAACCAAAAACTTTTGATTCATAGCTGAACTCTTTAGTAACAAAGGGAAATCATCAGCAATGGAAGTGAACTCAAGAAGTCATAGCAGTGGGTAAGAACTAAAGCCAAAAACCTCACAGGACTTGTGAGGATTCAATATGGGTTTTAGGGTCTGGAGATGAGGCCTCAGGCCCCTGAGAGCTGGGGAGCTGAATCTGAGGCTCCACATAAGGTTGGAATTCACGGAACGCCATTTGGTCCGTGGTATAGGAGCTTAAAAAAGCCCCATGAGCTGAGGGACATGGCAAAGAAGCTTATCATCTCTTCAGGACACAGGTGAATAGAGTCATGTGCAAGAACTTAGAATCTCCAGCTGGCGTCATCTATCAGGGGTGGGGTGGAATTCACACCTCCAAATAGTTCAAGAATCTTAAACTGAAAATTAACATAAACCCTGGTAGTATCACATGAAAAGCAAATCCAAGAGCCTTCTGTAGGCATATCCTCTTGTAACCCAGGGAACTACACCTCCCAAGAAAAACAACTTCCACAAATATGAGCATATAGTCAGAAATTACTAACCACATGAGAAAATGAACCATGACAGAGAGTCAGCAGAGGCAACAAACAGGTGAAACCAGCATTTCCCGTGGGGCCTCAGTCCCATTGGTGGGGGTGCATACAGAATATCCTTTTCTTCTCTTGCTTTGGAATCTTTCCATTCAACAGGGAGGTCTTTCTGTTGAGAAAGGTAGATGGAACACTTCCCAGAAGCAGTAAATAATTACTGTTGAATTGGAAAGGCCATTTGATAGTATAAGATGGAATTTTGCCACGTAGTAAAAGTATGCAGGAGTCACCTAAAGTCTTAGAATGAAAACAATGCAAAATAAGTATAAAGGGAACATGGAGGAAAGATTGAAAGTCCTGCCTCTCCGTTTCCAGAGCCTGGTTGTGAGGCAGGTTTGTAAGGTGTAATAGCTACAGCTCTGTCTCCTCTTCCTTGCAGAAGAAAAGCACCTCCACATTCTGATCAACAACGCAGGAGTAATGATGTGTCCCTATTCCAAGACAGCAGATGGCTTTGAGATGCACATAGGCGTCAACCACTTGGGTGAGAAATCTGGTCTGGTCTCATCACAAAAGCCAGAGGGAACCTAAACTTCTCCTTGGAAAACTTAGGGACCAGACTGAGCCTTCTTTGTGGTGTGATTGGACCTCTGGGCTATAATAGACCATAAGTAAATGATAAATATCATCGTCCTGCCTGATAGCACAGGGATAAACTTGAGGCCCACTCAGTTCTGCCCACTTTTTAACCTGTGATTCAGATTCAAGTTACCTTGGGGCATTTTTGAACAACCTAATCGTATTGGGGGTGGTGTTGCTTTCTTTGTAATGGTCCTTGTGGTCAGCATCAGGTAGAGGCTGCCTGCTCTTAAACAGTGATGTTAATCAGCTGGAATGAGACAGGACGTCATGTTCATATTCATATAACCCAGACTTACCTCACAGAAGGACATTTTACAGCTTTGACTGTTTCTGTTTCCTTAAACCCTCACTGAACTTGCTCTGTAGTTGACAATGAATTAATGAGGCAAAAGCCTTATTCCTGAGCTCTCTGCTTCCCATAGCAGAGTTCTGTTCACCACTCCTCCTTTGCCCCTGCCTTGTTCCTGAACTCGGGTTAATTCTAGTGTTTCTTACAGGTCACTTCCTCTTGACCCATCTGCTGCTAGAGAAGCTGAAGGAATCAGCCCCATCGAGGGTAGTGAATGTGTCTTCCTTAGCACATCACCTGGGAAGGATCCATTTCCATAACCTTCATGGCGAGAAATTCTACAGTGCAGGTCTGGCCTACTGTCATAGCAAGTTAGCCAACATTCTCTTCACCAAGGAGCTGGCCCGGAGGCTAAAAGGTAGGCCGAGAAGAAATGAGTGTAGACACATGAGTCAGGGAAGTAGCTCAAAACCACAGAAACAGAAACTGTTTTCTGGGGCCTGTCCTCCAGACAGCACCTGCTGCCATGGTGTGGCTGGGTTTAGTTTTAGTAAGCGGCCCACCACAGAATATTGGAGGTGACTGTCGTGGATGGGGAGATTCTGACTTTGAGTTTGAAGGATTGGCTTCACCACTTACTAGCTGTGTGAGCTGCAGCAAGTTACTTAATTTTTCAAGACTGACTTCCTCATATGTAAAATGGGACTACTTCACAGATTATTGTCATAATTAATTTAGGCTTCATGAGCTAGTCAAGGTTCTTTACGTATAGTGAAACTAGGTAGAAGGGAGGGACCCGAACGGGCGGTAACTGCAGTTATTAGGATAAAACGAGTGCTGGGGTGGGGCCGGAGGGGTGGGCGTCTCCCTAACTGCAAAGGGTCCAATGAGAAGGAAATGTATGGTTGAAGAGGGGAAGCTCCAGTCACAGATAAACAGAGTTCCTCAGCACCATTCACTCTGGATTTCCGGTAGAGACAAAGGAGGCTGCACAAAGGAAAAAGGCTGGTGGGATTAGGTGGGAAATTGCTGTGGTGCAATGAAAGAACCTGGGCCTTACAGAAGAGTCATTTATTCAGCCATTCAGCAGACAAGTATTTACTGCCCTTGTTGTTCTATGCACTGGATTTGGGGCTTGCGGATGGAGTGGTGCATAAGGCAGGTACAGTCCCTTCCTTGATATGGTTTAGATCCAATGAGAGAGAGATAATTACCAAGTATTTATACAACTGTTACGTGGCAAGTCAGTCTAATAATACATGAATAGTTTTCATTGTAAAAGTTCAAATAATGCGGAAGTATGTAGACTTAAACGTGAAAAACCCCCTTCACTTTTCTCTCCTCAAGAAACCACGGCCAACAATTTTTAATGTGCACCTTTCCAATCATCTTGCGCATTTACATAGTATATATTTGTCATATATAAGGAACTGAAATTCCAACGTAATATCTTGGAGGTCTTTCTACTTAGTACATAGAGATTTATGCCATTCCTTTTGTTGGGTGTGTTGTATTTCATAATATAGATGTGCCTTCGTTTATTGATTCATTGCCTTAAAAACATCTAGATTGTTTCTTTTTTTTTCTGTTGTTGTGTAATTATAATTATGGTAAATACTATAAGGGGGAACTACAAGGACCTATGGCAGATTTGCAGGGGGCCTTAACTGTCTGAGGGGCCGGGGTAGCTTCTCTGAGGAAGTGACTTGCAAGGTGAGCCTTTGCAGGATGATTAGAAATGAAGTGGGTCACAGTGCAGGTCAGACGAGGAAGCTGAGGAACATTCACGGGAGAAGGGGGAGAATGCCTGAAATGTTGGCTCAGTTTGAGAAACAGAGAGAAGGCGGTTATGGTTAGTTCCTAGAATATAAGAGCGGTCATATAGGGTCAATGTCGAGTTGAAAGTCTAAGTCCTTTATCTGCAATTTGCGAAATCTACAAAGGCCTGAAAGTTCAGTTTTTTTTATAAGCTTGACACCAAAACACATTGGGCAACAAAACCTCACCTGTAATAGGGAGAGTAGGTAATAGACAGTATGTGTATATGTATTATATTACCTGTGTAATACAGAAAAAAGTTGGAAACATTTCTGGCCAGTGAAGAAATGGGGACCTGAAATAGCATATGTATAAATGCCATTTCTAAATGTATGAATGCACCAGACACTATTCTAAGCTCTTTTACATATGAACTCATTTAATCTTCAGAACGATCCTGTGAGGTGCAGGTATTATTATCCCCATTTTACAGAGAAGGAAACTGAATGACAACATCCGGAACTTGCCCAAAGTCACACAGTTAAGGAGTGGCAGAGCTGGGATTTGGAACCAGGCAACGTTTACTCTTGCCCTCTGCTCTCTTTGGCCACTCAGCAATGTTAAGTCCTGTCTTTCCCTCTCTCTGTGACACCCCTCATCAGGCTCCGGCGTTTCAACGTATTCGGTGCACCCCGGCACAGTCAACTCGGAACTGACTCGGCACTCATTTCTCATGCAATGGATGTGGCGGCTTTTCTCCTTCTTCATCAAGACCCCTCAGCAGGGAGCCCAGACCAGCTTGTACTGCGCCCTAACGGAAGGTCTTGAGATTCTAAGTGGGAATCATTTCAGGTATGAGTATATTTGTTGTTGAAGATGGAATTTTACTGCCTAAAGGAAATAATTTGGATTTGTTTGGTATACCGTATCCTTTTTTAAAAAGTACGTTGCCTGACATAGCTTTTGTTCTTTAACTCTAGTGTTTTTACCTTTTAGTAGGAGAATTTGACCCATTCACATATTTTTGTGGTAACTATTAGATTTGATTTTATTCATGTCATCTCTTCCGCTGATGATTATTCTTTCTGGTTATTTCTTTTATTCCTGTATTTTGTTATGTCAACCCAGTTTTCTTTGTTCCTTTTTTGTACTTCTAGTTCTATTCTTTTTAATATTAAAAAGAATTTGAACCTGTATTTCTCTGCTGTCTTCAGGACTGAAATAGTATAAGTGAACTCATTTCTTGAATAAATGAAGACTTTTAAAACTTTTTATTATAGAGAATTTTGAATGTACACAGTAGTAGACAAAATAGGATGTTAAATCCCTATATACCCATAACCCAGCCTCAACAACCATTAAGTCATGCTCGATCCTACCCTGTCCCAATCTACAGCCTGCTCCCATATTTTTTCATCCCATATTATTTTGAAGAAAATCCCAGGTATCACATAAGATCATATTCTTAGCATGTTTTTACCTCTACCTTTAAGAGTTTGTGGAAATGACCTGAAATTTTAGAGACTGGACTATACATAAATTAAGGTTGGAATGAAAGGTAGGTGGTCAGATCATGAACAACCTCTAAGGCCAGACTGTGAGAGGAGACACAGACATTGTTTCAGTAGAAAGTGACATAATCTGGTCTGTCCTTTAAAAAAAAAAAAATCCCTGGTCACTTTGTTTAATGAATGAGTGAGTACCCTAGTGAGAGGTAATGATTCCTGATTTAGGGTAATGATAATTGGAATTAAAAGAATGGTTAAATGAAAAGGCAGAATTTTTACCACTTGTTGACCAATGAAGTGAGGGAATAGGGGAAGATTTGGTGACTTGGGTTCAAGCCTGAGTTATTAGGAAACTGATGGTGACATTAACTGAGACAGCACACGTGGAAAGATAATGTGTATAATTCAGGGTTCTTTGATTTCAACGCAGCAGAAATGGACTCTGGCTAGTGTAAGCAGCCAGAAGGGAGTTTATTAAAATGTTAGGGTATTCCCGGGTCAAAGAGAAGACCAAAGAGCCAGAGCTAGAACACTCGGTAGCCTGCTGGGTGGCGGGGCACTGCTGCGGGGGTGAGTGAGCTCCAGCTGTCTTTAGTCTGTTTTGCTGTTCGTCATCTACTCTCCAGGGAAGTAGCATTGCATCTCCTTCCTCCGGGACCCACCTACCATCCCTCACCTCCATTTCCTCGGCTACGGATAGATAGGCAGGCACATGATTAATCGTCTTCAAACCATATCTAAGGGAAAGGAGATAAATCCAAAGAAAGAAATCAGGTTGCTGTTGGCAAAAGAATGTGGAAGGGATGTTCGACCGAGGAGTAACAGTTGCCCGCTATGTAGTGAACCTGTCTGTATAAATGTTGAGTGAGTTTTCCATAAGATGTGAGTAGAAGTGTGTAGCAAATAGTTTGAAATGTGGGTCTGAACTGGAAGAAGACAGATTATTTGGTTCTGTACACTGGAATGATTTTCCAAGTGTGACTGGATTCTTCTTTTCTAGAGTTTTTAAGAAATAACCTTTTATTTCGGTTTTGAGTCAGTGGTTTAAAGAAAATCAGCCTCAGATATGTGATTTTTTAATTGGCTTTTGGAGAGCCTTTCCATTCCCATAGATTATTGATTTTAAACACTGAGGATCAAACAGCAGCCATGTAGGCCACTATCAAATGAACATAAAAGTGTCCCTTTTTTCTGGAAAGATTTTATGTAGTTATTTTTAGAGAGAGGGAAAGGGAAGGAGAAAGAGAGAGAAAAAGATCATGTGAGAGAGAACCATTGATCTGTTGCCTCTCAGTTGGGGGGACCAGGCCCACAAGCCAAGCATGTGCCCCAATCAGAAATCAAACTGCTGGTAACCTTTGCCTTGCGGGTTGATGTCCAACCAGCTGAGTCAAGCCAGGGGTCAGGGCCTTAAAAGTGCCTTGAATGAAACCTTAGGACCTTTGCATTGGTTGTTCTCTCTGCCTGAAACACTAATCTACTTTTTGTCTCTGTGGACATTTCATATAAATGGAATCATAATATCAATTTGTGGCCTTTTGCGACTGGCTTCTTTCATTTAGCATAATGTGTAGAAGGTCCATCCATGCCAAAGCGTGCGTCAGTGCTTCATTCCTTTTCATTGCCGAATGATACCTCATTTCATGGATATACCACATTTATTGTAGTATACTCATCTGTTGATGGACATTTGGATTATTTCCACTGCTTGTCTATTTGGATGCTGCTGCTATGAACATTCATCAATAATTTTTGTATGGACATTTCTCCTGCATATATACCTAGAATTGGAATTCCACTGGAATATGGGTCATATGTCAATTATGTATTTAGCTGCTGAGGAACTGCCAGACTGTTTTCCAAAGTGGCTGCATTATTTTACATTGCCATGAGCAGACTATGAGGGTTCCAGTCTCCACATCCTTGCCAATACCTGTTATTGCCTGTCCTTTTGATTTTAGCCATCCCAGTGAGTGTGAAGTAGTATCTCCTTATGGTTTTCATTTGCATTTTCCTGCTAGCAGTGCTGAGCATCCTTTCTTGTGTTTACTGTCAATTTATATATCTTCATTGGAGAAATGTCTATTCAGATCCTTTGACTGTTTTTAAATTGGATTATTGTCTTTTTATTGTTTAGTTGTAACAGTTCTTTATATTGTCTAGATACCAGTTTCTTATCTATATATGATTTGAAAATATTTTCTCTCATTATGTTGCTTTGTCTTTCCACTTTCTTTGCAGTGTTCTTTGAAGCACAAGTTTCTAATTATGATGAAGTCTTATTTATCTTTTTTTCCTCATTATTTGTGCTTCTGCTGTCATATCTAAGTAACCATTACCTAACCAAAGGTCACACAGATTTATTACTCTTCTAATAGTGTTATAGTTTTAGTATTACGTTTAGGTCTGTGCCGTTTTTGTTAATTTTTGTATATGGTATGAGGTAGGGGTCATTGTCCCAGAACCATTTGTTGGAAAGATTATTCTTTTCCCATTAAATTATTTTGGTAGTTATATTAGAGCACCTTGGGCTTTCATAACAGAATACCACAGACTGGGTGGCTTAAACAACAGAAATTTATTTTCTTAGTTCTAGAGGCGAGAAGTTCAAGATCAAGGTCCTGGCAGGGTTGGCTTCTGGTGAGGCCTCTCTCCCTGACTTGCAGACACCTGCCTTCTTGTAGTGTCTCCACATGACCTTTCCTCTGTTTGACCATACCCTTGGTGTCTTCTCTTCTTCTTATAAGGGCACTAGTCCCATTGAATTAGGGCCCGACCCTTATGACTTCATTTAACCTTAAATATCTCCTTAAATGCCTTATCTCTAAATATAGTCACATTGGAGGCTAGAGTTTCAACACATGGATTTTGGGTTACATGAATCAGTTCATAATAGTAGCCTTATCAAAAATCAGTTGACGTAGCCCTGGCCAGTGTGGCTCAGTTGGTTGGAGCATTGTTGCATAAACCAAAGGGTCATGAGTTCATTTCTTGGTCAGGGCACATGCCTAAGTTGCAGATTAGGTCCCCGGTGGGGATGTGTATCAGAGGCAACTAACTGGTGTTTCTCTCCCTCTCTCCCTCCCTTCTCCTCTCTGTAAAATTCAATTTTAAAAAATCAGTTGATGTAAATGTAAGGATTTACTTCTGTACTTTTAATTCTTTTTATTTATATATCTGTTCTTATATGAGTACCACACTGTGTTGATTACTGTGCCTTTGTGGAAAGTTTTGAAACTGGTCAGACAACCTTCTACTATACTGGTTAATACTTACCAAAACCCCACTGTAAATATCAGCATCATGACTGTGCTTACATCTTAACCACATTTAAGTTGCTCTTACTGTAGTATTTGAATAATTTTTACAACACATCATAGCTTACAAGGCACTTTCCTGTCCATTGTGTCATTTGCTTTTCACCATAAACTTACAAAGAGTGTGAGGCATAGTGCAGTGGAGGCTGCCGAGGCTCCCAAAGGCCAAGTTATTTCCAAAGTCATACAGAGCTTTTGCTTCTCAGTAATGGACGTTTCACTCGGAAATGGCAAGTTGTGCTAGTGAGTTCCCTTAAACAGAAGTACTATACTTACAAGGCTTGTTTTTTAAATACTTTATTTTTAGAGACAGGGGAAGGGAGGGAGAAAATAGGGGAGAAAAACATCAGTGTGCAAGAGAAACATCAATCGGTTGCCTCTCACATACCCCCAAATGGGGAGACCTGGCCCGCAACCCAGACATGTGCCCCGATCAAAGATCGAACCTGCAACCCCCTTCGTTTTTGGATGACGCCCAGACCACTGAGCCACACCAGTCAGAGCATAAGGCTTGTTTTTTAAACGCAAAGATTTTTTCCAGTGGTTTTTATCAAACTTTCGTGCATTTAAGAACCATCTGGAGAACTGGTTAAAAACAGATTCCGGGTCCTCAACCCCAGAGATTCTGATTCAGTAGGTCTGGGGCGGGGCTAAGAACTGGCATGTTGGACGGGTTTCCGGGTGATGCTACTGCTGCTGGTGCCCAGCCCACGCTTTGAGTGGCACTGTCGGAATGGACACCGTGGTAGGCGTTTGCTTCATACTGTTATTCCAGACTTGTCAACTCAGCCCTTTACCTTCAGAATTTGCTTAAAATGCCCAAGAAGCAGTTTTCTTGAAATACTGCAGTTTAAAAATGGCTTTTTATGTGATTTCAAAGATTGTGAACCATTTATCCAATCCTTTTTAAAAAACCCTTCATTGAATACCTGCTTTGTACTAGATGCAGAAAAGACAAAAATGAATAAAAGAATTATCCTTGGGAAAAATTTCCGGGTCATGCAGTGTTGAGATACCCCTCCTGTATTTAATGGGCACTTAAAGTAATTAGAATTACAGCAGTGAAGAGAAGATATATGAAACACTGGATACCTTGTTACCATTTACTTTCTGCTATCATCTCTTCTCTCATTACTTATGAAACTGACTTTACTTGTTCTCCCAGTTTAAAAACAGGTGGACCAGAAATAAGAAGTTTTGTACTGTTTTGTTTTATTTTGTTTACTACTATAAGCACTTCCAACCAATGGAAATAGTAGGATCTCAGCTACATGACACTGTACAGGGTCCTATAAAGTGGACCTCAGAGACTTATCTGAACAAGATGGACATACACTGTTGTCAGGCAGGTACTGATAGTACAATTACATGTATACAAAGGGGAATATTAAGAGTAAATGATATGCATTTATATCAAACAGAGCACTCTTCTCAGAGGTGGTCTGGTGAGCTCTGAAATGGTAATTACATTTTCTCTGGGGTAAAGACTGGAGAATGAAGACACAGGACAAACACTGGATCTGAAAAGTGCCTAGAGGACATGTCATCCCTGGGTTGTTTTTCTGTTGTATTCCTTATCCCAGGCAGAGAACAGGCTCCATTCTTTTTAAAATGTTTTAAAATTTATTGATTTGAGAGAGAGAGAGACATCGATTTTTTTTTCACTTATTTATGCATTCGTTGTTTCATTGTCTATTTCTTATATGTGCCCTGACCAGAGATCAAACCTGCAGCCTTGGTGTATCGGGACAATCCTCTAACCAGCTGAGCTACCTGACGAGGGCCCAGGCTCCATTCTTTACCCTGTGCTTTATACTACTCTCTTTCCCTTTCAGTGACTGCCATGTGACATGGGTCTCTGCCCAGGCTCGTAATGAGACAGTAGCAAGGAGGCTCTGGGACGTCAGCTGTGACCTGCTGGGCATCCCTCTGGATTGACAGTTGGTAGCAGTTGGACCTAAGAGAAGTGTGCATCAGACTACTCAGTACTCTCAGCCAAAATGATTCTCCTTCAGGATGGCCAGAACCTTGAGCACAAAGAGAGCAGACCTTTCATATTTGCCAGTTCGATATCTTATAAAAGCCCAGTATACACTGCCAAATTTACACGTTGCACTTGTCCAGCTCTACTTTGCTCCTGTTATTGCCAGTTACTACAGATACCATAGGATAAGTACACCACCATGACCTGCAAGTTCGTATTTTCCTTCTAAACCCCGTAGTAGGCATAGCTACTACCTAGGAGAAGCTATGCTAGGGCAGGGTTGATTTGTGGCAGTTTGGACTAGTTTCTACCCTCTTTGTTTACAACGTAGTTCCTCCCAACCAACCAACCTTCACTTCAAGGAGCCACGCTGCAGCCTCCGTGGAACCCCGGGAGTCACCGTGGCTTGGTCAAAAGCAGGGCTCATCCCTCGTCTCCTAGTGAAACCATCGTGGTGCCCACATCTGGATCCTTTGAGGAAATTTAAGTGGATCTGGATTGTGGCAGGGCTCTGTCTCTGACAACCTACAGCCATGGCTGTTGAGACCCTTTCCCATGCCGAGCCCATGGAAGAGCTTCCTTTTCTAAGACGTTCGTGGGTTCCGGAGGATGGCAGAAGTAAAAATCAAGTTTAAATTCTCAGTGTCCTGCCAACAAGGAGATGATGAAAGGACCCGTTTGAGAAGGTAGGCCTCCTGACATCAGCTACTGACCTCCGACACATGGAGGCCTCCTTTTCGTGCCTTGGTTTCTCTTAGAAAACCAGCAGATGGGAAAGGCTATTTGGTGATTGTTACTGAGTATGTGTTCCTGTGTACTTTTGCAGTTGGGAGTATCTTCACAAAATTCAAAATAGCCATAAAGGAACAGTATTAAACTGGACCCTGATGCAGGTAAATGATCAGAGATGGAGCAAACCAGTGTCATATAGTCTTTGATACAAATGGGCAGAGCTGCAAGGAGCAGCAGACTGTTTACATTGGTAACTACCCAGCAGGAAGCCCATGGGTAGCAGGAAATAAGTTCAAAAAAGAGAATAAGCCTGGAAGATAATAAAGGGTCTAGTTAAGAATTAAAAAAAAAAAAAAAAAAAAAAAAAGCTGAAGATGGTAATATCCAGCTGTAGAATTAAGGGTGAGCACCTGAGTTAGCAAGACTTATTAGGGCACTATCTTAAGCACCAGTCAACCATCATGGCTGAAAAACCACCAAAACAAAAAATACCCCTCAATTGTTTATTCAGCAACATTATCTTAAGGACTGATATTGCCAGTTACAGTCAATTTAATAGTCTTTTAGGGCATTTGCTTACATTATCTTGACAAAATTAAAATGTCAATTTGCTTAAAAAAAAATCTACATTTTATTTGGAGAACTTTTATCAAAATGTTGCCAAAGGCAGTCTGAGGAATGGGTAATTTTCCATCATCTGTTTACAGTCTGTTATCATAATGGAGTTTGTGATTTGCTTGGACCAACAATTATATGTTCACTTTGTTGGTGAAGAGTTATAGGACCACAGTCTTCTCATATTTGTAAATTAATAATCTCTTGTACTTGTTTTGACCATTAAACTATATATTTAGAAGTGGTTATTTTATGGAGAAATTGGAAAACTTGATAATAGTGCAGTGGAATAACTGAATTAATATTTTACTTAATTTATATTGAACTGTCAATGACAAATAAAAATTTTTATTACATTTTAATTTACCAGAATAAAAACTTTAAGAATTAAAGAAAGTTTACTTCGAGTCAACAGAAGAAAACAATTAAATGAAAATTTAACTATACCCAAAAGAAGAAAACATTTCACTATAACGGTTATGCAGTCATTTCTCATTCTAAGGATAATTTGTGTCAGAGTTTAGCTACAGTACAGTCTCAATTGAAATGCCATTAACCTCAGTCTTGTGATAATTTGATCCCTCAGTTACCCATTTTCTACTTTTCTTTTGCGATGCTGTTCAAGCATTACTTTTTCCGCCCCAGGTTATTTAGCTCTCCTTTTTGTACTTGCCCCTTCTGTAACAATCCTATGGGGCTTTACACTACACTGCCTGCCACTAACAATCTCAGCTTTGCTCTCTCTCTATGCATAACATTAGGAGTTCAACCAGTTTCTTGAATCAATGGTTAACGAACTCAATCTAGTAAAAATAAGGGTCTCGGAGATATAAATCACCATCATTTCCTCCTGAACAGTAATATATCTTTTAATGTGTGTGGGCAGTCTTAAGTATTGGGCTGCCAAGCAAACATTCCAGAACCAGCTCCATAGGCAAACCATGAAATGAATGAAAACGGGAATTCCCTTCCAGTCATCCATGGAAATCCATGGAAGGCAGGAAAGGAGTTTGTTATTTTTAACAATGTTCAGTAGGAATGGGGCTTGAACCAGGATCCCCCTCGTTCACCACGTTATAAATTACCCAAGCGCAGAGAGGGCATCTTTTCATCACCAACGTGTGCCCAGACCCCTGCCCAGTGACTAGGTTTAACATTAACATATGCTGAGTGAACGAAAAACCCTAAGGCCATCCCAGCCCCTAAAAGCTGAGTACAGCTTGTGGGGTCGCATTGCCCGGGGAACACTTCTGACGGCAGGTGACCCTGATCATTTGACCTCCCCAGAAAAAGTGCCTTACCGCTCAAGGGCAGGCAGGAACCTGGCCTGACTACCTTTAAAGGTCTGAAAACTAACACTTGGTCAGGACACGAACTAAGGAAATCAAGGGGGCCAGAATGTGCGATGACAGATGACGTCCGGGGCACACGGATACCAAACGAATAACCCTCAGTGCCACCCCGGGCTGCAGCGGTGCGGAACAGCGCACCTCGACTCGTGACCTCCGGGAAACAGCGCCTTCCCTGCCGAAATACAGCCCCCGGCATGCACTGCGGCGTCCGCCCTACGCCAGGAGGCGGGGCCCTGGAGAAAGGCGGCCGCGCTGCCCGTACCGCGGGTCCCCATAGTCTCTTCCGCTATGGCGCTCTCCCCAAACCCGCGCTGAGTGTACCCGGAGGTCCTGGACCTCTGCTAGCTGGGGCGCGCCGGCGCCTTCACAAGACTCTTCCGGGCAGCGCAGAGCTCGCGACTTTCCGGGAGGCTTTCTTACCCGGCGCTCCCTCCGTGACGGAATGAAGGGGATGGGCGTTCCGACTCGGGAGGACCCCGCCGCGGCCCCGGAAGCGCCTCGTCCAGGGTGGGCGGTGGCGCCGCTGGAGGAGGTTGCCGTGATGCCTGCGGAGCAGGGTGGCTGACCGCCACGGGCTTCAAGTCCCGGAATCTCGGCAGCCGCTGCTTAAGTGCTTGCTGCCTGCGCCATGGCCACCTCCGCCGCCTCCTCCGAGCATTTCGAGAAACTGCACGAGATCTTCCGCGGCCTCCATGAAGACCTACGTGGGGTGCCGGAGCGGCTCCTGGGGACTGGAGGGACAGGTGAGGTGGAGGCTGGCCGAGCCTTGGGGAGTTGGCCCCGCGCGCTCTCGGAGGAAAAGCCCTTGCCCTCTTCCCAGGCCTGGGCCCTCTTTCCTCTTCAGACACGTTCCCTAGACCTGGCTGGGCCCGGCGCTCAGGATCTCCCTCCTGTCACTTAGGGTGCTCAGTGATGGACCTCGGAGTACTGTTTCCTCGGGATTCTTGATCTTGCTATAGCATTCAATAGCCTTTCCTTGGGATCCTTGATCCTACTATAGCCTTTTCTCGTCTCACTTTCACTGTGCCAAGAGGATAGGCGACTTTAAATGTGCGGTCCCGTATTTCAGTAGAACTGATTGCACTAGTAGCTCTCTGTATTTTGTTTTACGCATTTACATGATTATTTTCAAGAGAGGTCCATAGTTTTCACCAGACTAGCAGAGGATCCCTAGCACCAAAATGGCTAAGAACCCAAAGGAATCATAGCTTTTGGGGTTGGTAAATACGTTTTGCGAGGCTAGTCTTTAAAATCAGGATTGTGGCATTTAGGTGTTGTCCTGTTATGAACTTTCTGATGAGATTATTTCCGGCCCCATGGTTTAAAAATTCAGGTTGCTGCCCTGGCTGGTGTGGCTCAGTGGTTTGAATGCCGGTCTGTGAACTGAAAGGTCGCTGGTTTAATTCCCAGTCAGGGCACCTGCCTGGGTTGCCGGCCAGGTCCCCAGTTGGGGGCGTGTGAGAGGCAACTGATTGATGTATCTCTCATAACTTGATGTTTCACTCCTGCTCTTTCTCCCTCCCTTATCCTCTCTCTAAAAAATAAAAAATCAGGTTGCTGCAGTCTTTGTCTGGAGGAGCTTGAGTTGTCCTGTTAAATCCGTAGGAAGCACAGTTCTTCACTTCAGACCGAAGTAGCTCTTGATGAGGAGGCAGATAAGACTGCGTTTTATTGTTTTTACTTAAGGGTCAGAGCTTGAGTGTTAGCTCTGTGAGTTACCCAACGTCGCATGAATCAAATGATTGGTGAGAATAAAATTCATACCTTTGTGTTACTAGTATTAATTGGGAGAGGTTACTGTGTACCAGGCACTGCCTTAGATGCTTTTAATATTGTAAATTACAGTGAAAAGACCTACAAATCCTCGATGATATATAAATATTAAGAGGCTGTGTTAAGGGCAGTGATATAGGCATACTCCATTTTATTGCAGTTCCCCTTTTGCGCTTCACAGATGTTGCGTATTTAACAAATTTAAGACCCTCTAAAGATTACTACTCACTTTACTGCAATACTTGCTTTATTGTGGTCCTTTGGAACCCCACCCACAACATTTCCAATGTATTCTCGTAGAGGAAAACAAAGCAGGGCAAAGGAATAGAGAGAGGGGGGCACTCTGATTTTAACTGGAGTAGGTGCTGTGAAAGGCCTCTTCGAAGAGATGGCGTTTGAGCAGAGACTTGAATGAAGTAAGGGAGTAAACCATGCAAAAATCTGGGAGAAGTGCGTGTCAGGAGGACCGAATAGCCCTGCAGAGGTCCCTAAGCTGAAATGAGGTTGGTTGGTTCTAGAAAGAGCAAGGAGGCCCGTTGTGTTGTCAGTGGAAGGGGTGAAGGAGATAGTGGTAGTGGGTAAGGCTGGAAAGAAGTAGGCAGGACCAGATCCTGTGGGGTCTTGTAGACCACAGTGAAAGTTTGCAGCTATTGCTGTTTGAGATGGGGTCTAGTTTAAGGGTATTGAGCAAGAGAGTGATGGGATCTTAATTACCAGGCTGAAAAATACTGGGTTTTCTTTTTTTTCAGCCAGGTGTTGGATTTAATTGTGCAATACCCAGTTTTTTAAAGGCTAACTAATGCATTCTGTTTGAAAAATAGAAAACTGAGTTAGTTATATTCACCTTTATCATCTACTTAATCTTTTTATCATTTCTGCAAAGAGGACAATCAAAACACTGTGAATTTCTTCCCAGTCACAAAGTACTCTAACATAACTTGTTGGTAACAGACCTAGTTGTTTAATGGTTAAATATAATATACACGTATCCTCAGGTTATAACAAGAATTTCAACAATTTTCAATCTCCTTATCCATTACTTTGTTCATACTACTCAATGAATATTTTCTGAATAAATTGAATCTAATTAAGGAAACACACTAGGCCTCATCTCTGATTCCTTATTTCTACTTCAGGGACCACTTCATATGCTTTCCAGAGCTTTAATTTCCATCATGAACTATCAGGTACTGAATAATGCATATAACACGGCCCTTGCATATAGCTTATGTGCTGTAATTGAATTCAGTCATTTTTCAATAACATTTATTGAGAATTATCATGTATCAGTCACTGTCCTGGGAGCTGAAGAGTTCCAAGAGTTCGTGCCTTAAATGCGAATAGAGAAGCTGTACAGTTGAATGTTTAACAGCAGGGATTCTAGAGCCAGGCTGCCTATTTTCGAGTGCTACATTCACCTCTTAGCAGCTGTGTGACCTTGGACAATGTACTTTAACCTAACTAGTTTACCCTGCAAAATGGGGAGAATTTATACCATTTACGTCACAAGGGTTTTAAAAGCATTAAGTAAGTTAATATATGTAAAGCCCTTAGAATACTCCTTGACAGTAGTAAGAGTGATTAGCCATTGATACCGTTATATGGGAAAGTGGGTATTTTATTTAAATAAAACATGAGAATACTAGCTCTTTATACAACTACTCTTACCTTGTTCTACTTTCCTGTTTTTTTCTAGAGCACTTATCTTCTAACATACTAGATGCCTTATAGATTTATGATGTTTATAGTATATTACTGGTTTTTTGCTAGCACAGTGGTTTTCACATGTCGTCCTTGAATCAGCATCATAAGCATCATCTGGGAACTTGTTAGAAATGCAGATTCTTGGGCCCCAGCCAGTCATTAATCATTAGCTATTTTAACAAACCGTCTCTTTTAACAGCCCTCCAGGGGGTTTCTGGTGCATGTCAAGTTTGAAAGTCTCTGAGTTAGAACAAAAGCTCTATATTTTCTTTACATCCTTGCCAAGGCTTGTTATTTCTTGGTCTCTCTTAAAATAAGCCATTCTAACAGGTGTGAGGTGATATCTCATTGTGGTTTTGATTTGCATTTCCCTGGTGATTAATGATGTTGAGCACCTTTTCATGTACCTGTTGGCCATCTGTATGTCTTTGGAAAAATGTCTGTTCACATCCTATGTCCATATTTTAATGAGATTGATTGGGGTTTTTTGCTGTTGAATTGTATGAGTTTTTTATCTTTTTTGGATATTAACCTTACCAAGTTTATGATTTGCATATATTTTCTTCCATTTGGTCGTTGCCGTTTCATTTTGTTGATGGTTTCCTTTGTTCTGCAGAAGCTTTTTAGTTTGATGTAATCTCACTTGTTAATTTTTGTTTTTGTTGTCTTTACTTTTGGTATCTAATCCAAAAATCTTTGTCAAGACTGATGCTAAGACCTATTTTCTTCTAGTTTTGTGGTCTTATGTTCAAGTCTTTCTTTAATCTCTTTTAATTTTTGTGTGTTGTGTAAGATAGCGGTCCAGTTTTATTCTTGGTATGTGGCTGTCAAGATTTCCCAACACTGTTTATTGAAGAGACTGTCCTTGCCTGTGAGATAATAGAACAATATGTATATTGGTCTCTGCCCTTAGTTACTTGAACAGAGCTCCTAAAACCCTTGTAATTTCCTAAATGGTAAAAACACTAGGAGCATCTTGTTTTAATATTTGATCTTTGACTCGGTCCCTGACCCAGGGCTCCTAAAACCCCTGTAATTTCCTCAGTGATAAGAGCGTTAGGAGCTTCTTCAGTCCTAAGGAGGCAACTCTGGGTGGGGTCTTAGGTGGCCCCTGGGTGGGTACTGATCACCAGGAAGAACAACCCATGATTAGAAGCTTGATATTCAACGCTGCTCCCCACTTTTCTAGAGAAAGGAAAAGGACTGGAATGGATTTTAAAATTAGTCATGTCTACATGTGGAAGTTTCTGTAAAATCCCACTAGTACAGGATTCAGAGAGCTTACCGATGGGGGAACACATTCACACCGGGAGGGTGATGCACCCAACTCCAGGGGACAAAAATTCCTGTGCTTGAGATCCTCCCAGACCTTGCCCTTTGTATTTCTTCATCTGGCTGTTCATCAGTATCCTTCATCGTATCATTTAATAAACTGGTAAACCTAACTCGTAAGCATTACCTAAACTGGTACGCGGTTTCCTGAATTCTGTGAGCTGCTCTAGCAGATCAATCACACCTGAGGAGAGGGTCCTGGGAATCTCCAGTTTGTTGCCAAATTGGGCAGAAGCTGTGGGTAACCTGAAGATCTACTACTTGTAATTGGTATCTGAAGAGGGCGGGGAGAGGTAGTCTTATGGGATCCGAGCCCTTAACCTGTGAAATTTGATGCTGTTTCTGGATAGTGTCAGAATTGAGTTGAATTGTAGGATATTCAGATGGTGTTGCAGTTCTTGGTGGGGGAAACCCCCCACATATTTGGTGACTGGAAGTGAAGTGCCCTGTATGACCAGTGAAGGGGAGAGAGACAGGAAAGAAACACACAGGAGGAAGCACTGGGTTTTCCTAACATGAACGTTTCTCCATTGAATAGCCTTGGCTCCTCATAAATTAATTGACCACATGTGTGGGTTTCTTTCGGGGCTGTCTGTTCTATTGATCTTTGTGTCTGTTTTATGTCAGTACGGTACTGTTTTGATTACCATCACTTTGAAATATAGTTTGAAGTTAGGAAGTTTGATGCCTCCAGCTTTGTTCTTTCTCAAAATTGCTTTTACTAATCGGTCTTTTGTGGCTCCATACAGATTTTTGGATTTTTATTCTATTTCTCTGTACAGGACTTTCACTTCCTGGTTTAAACTTCTTCCTAGCTATTTTAATTCTTTTTGATCCAATTATAAGTATCATTGTTTTCTTAATTTCTCTTTCTGATACTTCATGATTTTTTATAGAAATGTTTTATAGAAATAAAACAGATTTTTGTACACGGATGCTCCTCAACTTCAGTGGGTTATGTTCCAATAAACCCATTGTGAGTTGAAAATATAAGTCAAAAATGCATTTAATACATCTAACCTACCAAACATCATAGCCCAGCCTAATCCACCCTAAATGTGCTCAGAACACTTATATTAGCCTACAGCTGGGCAAAATCATCTCGCTGCCACTGCCCAGAGTCACAAGAGTGGATGGTACTGCATATCACTAGCCCAAGAAAGGATCAAAATTCAAAACTTGAAGTGCAGTTTCTGAGTACATATCACTCTTACACCATGAAAAAATTGAATTGGTAAGTTGAACCATCATAAATTGGGGACTGTCTGTAGAATTTGTATCCAGCAACCTTTCTGAATTATTTATTAGTTCTACCAGTTTTTTGGAGGAGTCTTTAGTTTTCTATGTATGATATATGATATCGTGTCATCTGCAAATATATATACACAAGACCTCATTATTTTTGGAACCAGAAAAAATAATCACTATGGAGGACCCTATGCAGTGGGTTGGTAAATACCAATTATTCATTGATTGCAGAATTTTAATTTTTGCAACACTCTTCATAGTGTTTAGTGAACTTTACTTTTGCTCTTAGTTCTTCCTACGTAAAGATTTACTTTAAAAAACAATGATGGTTATTATTAATTGAACTTTTAATACTCCTGGCCTTTGCCAAGTGCTTTTTCTGGTAATATCTCTTGTAAACCTTTCAGGCTACCCTACGAGGTCAGTGCTTTTATGTTTCCTATTTGCAGATGAGAAAACAGGCATAGAGGGATCTGATGCTTTTAATTCTATTCTACATGGTGTGAGAGTAGGTAAATCACAGTGGTCTACCAGTAGAGGATGCAGGTCTTAGAAATGCCACAGTGAGGCGCCAAAAGCAAATTCGTCACATATTTTAAAAATCCTGGTGAAACCCAAGTTATTTCCACAGCTCTAATGGACCAAAGGTAGTCACTTTGGAGCTGTTGATTCACACCTCCTGTGAAGAAGAGAGGATGTCACCTTGTTGAACGCTAAGGCAGGCTTCCTCTAGCTGTCTTTCAGAGCGGACTGCTTGTGTCGTGTTCTTTGTCTAGGATATGGTGCTGCCATCCACCCAGTTTACCAAACAGAAGCAGTCTCGAGTGAATAACTCAGCCTGTGACAGGCTCGGGAAGGCATGCGGGGTGGGGGGCAGTGTTGGTTGGAGTGGCTCACTCCTGTTTTGGGGGTCTGTGCTATCCAGTACGGAGACCTGTTTTGTAGTTGATTTTAGGGTTAATTCTCTCAAAAATTCAAGAGTTCTGAACAGATTTTACCCGTTGCTAAAGGCTATATATACGCTGGGAGCACAGAAAGGCCCCTCAGTGCTATGATGTACAGAAGCGCTGGATTGGGAGTCAGGAGACTTGCATACTCCTCCTGTGACCTTGGGGAAGGTAGTTTCTCAGGCTCCAGTTTCCACAACTGTGAAATGAGGGTAGACCAGATAGGTGACCTCTGAGGTCCATCTCAGCTCCACATGCATTATTGATTCCACAATTGTGTGACTACAGTATACAGAAGCAGCTACTGATACTTCTCAGTTGGGTAGGGTTCAAGCTCTTTTGAATCTCTAAATATCTGCTTCCCTGACTTCATCATCAGAAGGGATGGTTACAAAATCTTAAAAAAAAAAAAAATCTTAGTACATAAAGGATCTCATGTGGTGAAATGGGTATATTTCTTTTAAAAGTATATAATCTGTACAGCACTCCTACAAGAGTGAATATCAGGAAATCAGGTAGAGAGTGGAGTATTCCACTCTCTGACACTAAAAAGACTGACACTAATCGAATCATGCAGAGAAGAGTCAAGATTCTGTAGGTTACCTCTTTTCTTCCTGCTTTTACTTTTATATAGCTCGTTTCTTCAAGTCATTCTAGAATTTGCCCCTTAAGAATGCAGATTTTCATGTCCTTTTAGCAAAGGAGGAGTATGGGAAGGGACTTGATGACTAATAGAGTTGTAAAAAAATCAGAGCTAGGAAGGGAATGCACACATACATAGACTGCTTCTTCATACTGTCCTGCTTGGATCGGGAGGGAGTGTGTTTGAGTTTGGAGATGGGCCTCTCCAGAGGGGTGGTGACACTCAGCACTTTGGTGACAAAATAATATGATACCTTTCCATGGAATTAGCCATTCTTGATTGCAGGTATTATTTCACTGCTAGTAGCTGGAAACACAGTCCACTCAGGGATAGTAAGAGGTGCTTCGGTGCTTATTTCATCAGGATAGGCAAGGTTCACGCCATTTGCCATGGCTGAATTTTCTTTTTCTTTTTCTTTTAAACAACAAACCCTGGTTTTTGTGAATGGTGTGGAGTGAGAAATAGTTTATTTGGAGTGCCTTGTGTGTATTAAGGGGTTGTCACATGACAGAGTGCATTGTCAGGTTTAAGGTTCTGGAAATTATGAGACCTATAAAAGAAAAAGTAACTTTCCTTGTTCTGGAGGAGCTTGGTCTCAAGTTGAGAATATATTAGAATGTACATATCCAAAATAATTTACAATCGCTTAAAAAGTAGCAGACAACTGACATGCTAGATGCTATTGTGATTAACATAAGTGTAAATCCATATAAAACACGATAGTGATGATATATCTTTTATTGGATTGGGTTTGAAAATCAAGGCTTCAGGTGAAAGTCAGGGTAAACAAAATTATCCAGGAAAATTTTAGGACAGTGTACTGGGTACCCACATCCCATCCCTCCATAAGCCCAACTCAGCGGTTTTCTTTGGCATTGGAAAAGATTGCTCTTTCTTCAATGGATGGACGTACTGGCTTGCATTTAGGAGTCACACTGGATGAAAAATACGTAGTTTTTAAAGACTGTGGCCCCATACATGCTATAACATGGGTGACCTCTGAAGACATTATGCCAAGTGAAATAATCCAGACACAAAAGGACAGATACTGTGTGATTCCTCTTCTATGAGGCGCCTGGAGTAGTCTAACTCATAGACACAGAGTGAAATGGTGGTTACCAGCGTCTGGGGTTGGAGAGAACGGGGTTAGTGTTTAATGACTATGGGGTTTCGTGTGGGATAATGACAAGGTCCTGGAGATGGATACTGGTGACGGTTGTACAACAGTGTGAACGCACTTAATGCCGTTTCACTGTACACTTAAAAAGGATCAGAATGGTAAAATATATATATATATATCCACAATTAAAAACAAGACTCCCCCCAAATTGTGAAGGTAATTCCGAAAGATGAGTTTAAAAAACATTGTAAGTAGTGGTCACCTTGTGGTAATAAGTAGATTATGTGTAGATTTCCTTGAGAAGATTCATTTGAATGTATACATTTAAAAAAATCAAGCTCCTCATAAATAGGGCTAATTTTTGCTTGTTAGATATGAAGGGAAGACCTATCTCACTTTATAGCCAAAGAAAGGTCCCAAAAAGGTGAAGGGAATTATCCAAGCTTACACATTAGGTGAAGCCCACAGCTGGGACCAGGACTTAGTCCCCTTTACTCACCAGCAGTTCTCCCCTGTACAAATGGTTACGAGGTGACAGCATGCCAGGGCTCCCTCCATCATTTTTGCCATGTCCAAGTACCATTTTTACTATTACTTGTTTTCTTTAAATCAACTTATTTCATGTAAAATATGGTTACTGAATGCATGAAAGGAAATTTTATATCACTACTTTAAAGATTATTTATTTATTTATTTATTTTTAGAGAGAGGGGAAAGAAGGGAGAAAGGGAGGGAGAGAAACATCGATCGGTCGTCTCTTGCTTACTGCCAACCGGGGACCTGGCCTGCAGTTGTGGCATGTGCCCTGACTGGGAACTGAACCAGTGAACTTCCGACCTTTAGGCCCACAGAGCAATGTCCGACCCACCGAGCCACACCAGTAAGGGCTATATCACTACTTTAAGTGGAAAATCTGTACAACCTGTCTAAATGATCAGAAAAAATACAGGGAAGGCAAAATAATGCTGTTTTAGTTAGATGTTAATTGACGCTAAAGCCTCATCAGTTTTTGTTTAAAAGGGAAGAGTCATAATTTTTAGGTATTAAAGACAGATTAGCACCAAAAGGTCATGACACAAAGGATTAAAAGAGAATCTCAAGGGCAGTGACTTTCTCACTGTATGAGTCAGTTCCATACACAACCAATGGTACCACAACCACATACCCACAACCAGTGGGTATGGCAGGGAAACACGTGCCATACCATGCAGCTTCCCCAGCGAGCAGAGAAGGTGGGTTTTAATAGGTTTTGCAGAAAAGCAGTGAATAAGGGCTACACAGAGAAGTGATTCATAGTGTGTGTGAAAGTGAGGACAGGAATTTCAGAAACCAGTATTGTTAAACATTCTATTGATGTGCCTGGTCTCTCTGTTAGGATTGTGGGGGGCGGGCGGGGGGGCGGTGTGTGGAAAATTGGCGATACTTAACTTAGACCTGAAGTGTTTCTTAGTAGGGACACTATTGGCCTTTGGGGCCAGATTATTGTTAGGCAGGACTGTCCCAAGCATAGATATTCTTGGGTACTAAATGCCAGACCCTCCCACTGTCCCCCAGTCATGTGACAACAAGTTCCCATACATTTCTAAGTGCCTTTTAGGGGTGATTAAGTACTACTTTTTTAGGGGTAAGTACTACTAACCCCAACAAGAGAGGAATGGGGAGTTAATTCTACACAGAGGGAATAGGTTCTATAAATATATTGAAGCAGGACTGAACATTTGAAACTTGTCTTATCTTTGCAGAAGAGAAGAAGAAATTGATCAGAGATTTTGATGAAAAGCAACAGGAAGCAAATGAAACGGTGAGAACAGGGAACAGATCCTTACTTCTGCCTGGTGTTCATCTTTTCCAAAAGTAATGCTATGATCTTATCACAGATTAACTCTTCCTTCTAATTGTTCCCGACTTTTATTATTTCTGACTAAATGAGGCCAGTTTGGGGGGATGGGTATTAGGGGTGGGGCATTAACAAACATAAATAGGTAAAGCTTGTAGCCTCTCCTGAAATGAGGCTTTGATAACACATTCTTGATGTGAGTTGTAAAGGGCATTCTCATACCTTTACCTGGGTGGTCTTTTAAAAATCTCATTTAAAAGCTGGCTATTAGGATCACTTATTCTTCTTTATTAAACTTACCGTCACAGAAAATGTAGCTCAGAGGTGGTTCTAAGCCACATTCCCTGTTGTTTTAAAAGACAGCGTAGTGGCTGGACCTGGTGTCTTGAGTAAGACATGCATGGACAGGATGAGCTCCCAATCAGAACCCAGAACTGAAAGCCATCAGAAGTTGGTCCAGCTTGCTGAGTGGTTTAACAACTGCTTCTCTCTCAATCTGGGGCAAAAAACAAAAAACAAAAACAAAAAAACAACACACACACACACACACACACACACACCCCCGCCCCCCCCCCCCCAAACACCAAAACACCTTTGCTTTTACCTATTAGAAGAGTCCTGTTGTCTCCAATATGCTCTAGCTTCGGCAAACCCTTCAGGAGACTGGGGCTAAAATCCAGCTCCCTAGTAGTACTCTGCAAAAATAGTTGCCCCTAGTTTTTACTACCCCAGCATAGATTAAGAAGAAAAATTCTTTTTAAACCAGAGAATGTCCTTCTTGCTTGTTGAAGAACAACTTCCCTCTACAGGTGAAGTTCTGAAAAGTTAAGCTTCTCTGCATCCTTTTCTCTGGTGTGCATCTCCTTTAAGAAGGATCAGACCACTGGACTGTGGAAAGCTATCTCCTTCGTGATGGAAGGCGCTAGAAGCTTAATACCTGTGTACAGCTGCCGATACCCCTGATACCTGTTACAGAGCCAGTCTTCTTTTTTGGTTAACATGTTAGTAGCATTTAAAAAATCTTGGAGCAAATACCAGTGTGTTTGGTGCTTACTTCCTTTCTCTGAACTTAGCAAAATTAACCAGTCCTACTCTGGCCATCCTAGGCAGATAAAAGTAATTTATGGCCTCTTGTGAATGTGCTTGAGTTTTGTATTTTATTTATCCCAGAAAAATGGAAATCTGACTGGGACTCTCTGACATGGAGACAAATGATTTTCAGGAAGAGGAGGAGGAATGGGAGAACCGTGATGCCAGACCTTTATCGTTTTAGTGCAGCTGACTGAAAGTGCTTCCTGGCAGCACTTGAACCGTAGCAGGCTAAGAACTTGGTAACGGAAAAGAGAATTTGAAGGTTTTAAATCTTGATTTCTCTTATTGTATAATCTTGAGTGATTTTCATCAAGTCTTACGTATGAAGTAGAAATAGTATTTCCTACCTTATTGATTTGCTGTGAGGATTAAATGAATGCATATAAAAATGTTTAATAAGCTATAAGGTACTAGTTTTTTTATCACATACTTTTTTGAATGCCTATTCTATGCTTGATAGGCAATGTGCAGACATCAGAGTAATGGAGTAAATGTGTTACATGTGGTCCCTGCCTCTGTGAAGCATATGGTAGAGTACTTATTCAGGGTTGTCTGTGGATTGATTAGTCCAAACTAGGCATATGTACAGATGAGACAGAAAAGAACCAGGCCGCCTACTCACTATTTTCATCTTCCTAGCTGGCAGAGATGGAAGAGGAACTACGTTATGCACCCCTATCTTTCCGTAACCCTATGATGTCTAAGCTTCGAACCTACCGGAAGGACCTTGCCAAACTGCACCGGGAAGTGAGAAGCACCCCGTTGACAACCACACCTGGGGGCAGAGGAGACATGAAATATGGCACGTACACTGTAGAGAATGAGCATGTGGTAAGCTTCAGCTGTTTTTCCCCCCTTTAGGGCCTGTGGTACAAGAATAACCATATTGCGGAGTACAGTTCACATTACAGTGTATACTACACTCTTGTTTTTCCCACCTTATCCTTTCCTTCATCCAGTTCCCTTTTCCCCTTGGATATTTATCCCTACTGTACTTTTTTTCCCCCCAAATTATAAGAGAAAGTTTACTTAGAAAGTAACAGAGGTAGTAGAACTGAGCCAGCTGGGCTGCGTAGGCTCAGGAAACAAATTACAGAGGCAAAAGAAGGGCCACTGGAGCTTAGGAGAGGGAAAGGCGAAGGCGATGTGTCTGCGGGAAGGAGAGGGAGAAGGCAAAGGCATGGGCGTGATCCCAGGAGGGAGGGAGGGCGCTGACCCCTACTATATTCAATGCAGATCTTTCCAAACCATGTGCTTATTTACATTTCTTGGTATCCTTTATGTATAAAACAGTACTTAGTATGTAGTGGTGGTATACAGGTGTTACCTAATCTTATTATATCTGAACTCTGTATTCTGACCCATTGATCCAGTTTCTTTCTCACATATGACAAAAAATTCAGTTAGGTTTTTAATTTATCAGAGTATTGGCACAAAATAAACTCAGGCTTTCTTTTACATTTATAACAAGATGGCCCGTAACCCAGATACAGTAGAGAAGGCAAGATGCTTCTTAAGGGGCTGATGCCATGATCTCTTGTAATAGAAAGTGAGCCTCAGGTTGCTTCTCTAAACTCCGGTATTTGATTTATAAAGTTAGACTGACTAGATCGAAAATCTATATTCTGAAACTATCCAGAGAAGCTAGAGAGTTAAAGAAATAAAACTTCAGAAGGTTTAAATTTAATATGTTGCATTTGGGATTATATCACACAGTACAAAGTAGAAGTGGCCTGGCAAGTAGTATATAGGAGAGCTATGGAAGTACAAACTGCTGCACATATGTAGAAAGGCTGATAGTACCATTTTAAGTAAACAAATCCCATTTCATGATACATCCCGATTATAGTTGAAGAGACATTCAAATGCTACTGGCCTGACATTGCTGATGTCAAAACTAGAGTATTTCAGAATGGTGTAAAATTTTCAAAGTTCACTTGTGAAGGGAGGGACTGGAGGAAGGCAGGCAGGTGGATCTTGTTAAAGTGAGATGAGAGGTGTAAAGTGACTTTGGTCATTTATTAACACCGCCTCCCCCCTCCACACACACAAAGACCCAAAACAACAAAAGGGGGAGTAAGTCCAAGGAATAATTTTGCTTTAAAATTATTCGTGTAAGCCCTGGCTGGTGTGGCTCAGCAGACAGAGCGCCAGCCTGTGGGCCAAAATGTTGCTGGGTTGATTCTGGTCAGGGCACACGCCTGGGTTGCGGGCCAGGTCCCTGGTTGGGGGCATGCAAGAGGCAACTGATTGCTATTTTCCTCCTCCTCTCTCCTTCCTCTCTCCTCTCTCTAAAATTTTTTTTTTTTTAAATCTTAAAAAAAAAAATCATTAGTTTCAAAAGTTAAACAATTTAAATATATATACCACTTTCAGTAGAATTGTTCTAAATCTGGGGTTGATTTATGTTATCTTACCATTTTTTCCTGTTCTTTTCTCAACCTGATCAGTTGAAAACCCCCCCCTTTTTTTTTTTTTTTGTTCAATTTTTTAAAAGGGCTTATTCCTGCTTCGTTTAAGCTAAGGTAACGAGGGTTTATTTCAACCTTACTCAGTAGTTTTCTTATCCACTGGTCTCTATACTGTATATGAAGACTTCTTGTTACTTCTGATCCGGTAACCTGTTTCTGGCTTGGTGGTGTTTTGTGCTTGGTAATAGGCCCTGTGAACTGGCGCGCGCACATGCGCGCTTCGCATAGCTAAGAACTTAGAGCTGCACCCATTTCTGTCAGTGGGAAATTCTGGCCTGACAAAGGCTACTTCTGTCCTCACGCCTCCGGTACTCAGGATTATATGTGGAGTAAAACTTTTGTGGGGATTTAGAAAACTAGGACACTTGGGAAATTAGGGCAGCTAGAGCACCTTATTTGGCCTCAAATACCTCCTTTCCTGAGAATAGATCACCAGTGTGGGAGCTTCTGGATTTTTGTTTTGTTTAGCCTGAAGAGCTTACCAATAGTGTGGCTGCCTAAGGTGTTTTCCAGAGTGTGGTGGTGTCACATCCAGATCTCTAATTGATTTCTCTCTGTACTGAAAATGAATAGCTTCTTCCTGGTTCCTTGGCCTCAGTACCAGTCAGGTAGGAATTTTCAGTGAATTAATCTGTTCTAGGGCTGTAGAGTTTATTAGCTGGTGTGGTTGCTGCCCATCAAAGTTACAGGCTATATGAATTTTCAGGCAGCTCCTGCACCTTAAACCTGGGCCACTGCCTCTCAGAAGCTGCTACTCCAACAAGCACAGGAACCAGTTCAAATTCATTACAAACACAGGAGGCTGTGTTCATTACAAACACAAAGGCTGATATTCTCAATCCTTTTTACCTTGTCTTAAAGTAGCAAGCAGTGGAGTGGGAGGTATTGTGAATCTTGTGTTGAATTCGAAGTTCCACTTTAGTCTGTCTGTATATAGGACCTTATAATAAGTTCATTAGCATCTTTGGTTGCCTTCAAATAATGAAAATTATTGCACACTATATTCCTTCTTACGTAAGAGTAGAGATAAGGATTGTGCTGACAGTATGGAAGAAGTCTAACATTCCCATTCATAATCCTGTCAGAATCGGCTACAGTCTCAACGGGCGTTGCTTCTGCAAGGCACTGAAAGCCTGAACCGGGCCACCCAGAGCATTGAGCGTTCTCATCGGATTGCCACAGAGACTGACCAGATCGGCTCAGAAATTATAGAAGAGCTGGGGGAGCAACGTGAGCAGTTGGAACGTACCAAGAATAGAGTAAGTCTGGGCAAATGGGGAAAGGTGCAAGATGGGTCAAGTAGTGGGCCTCGCTACAGCAGTTCTGAATTCAGGGCGTGTGGCCTTTGAGGTTCTTACGCTTTTCTTGGTTTTTAGTTTGCATAGCTGAGAGAGCTCCTTTGTAAGTAATTTTACCCCTAAGATTTAGAGATCACTGGAAGGGGGAAAAAGAAAGACTGAAGAAACTCGATTTCTGCATTTATTGAAGATTGTCAAATAAACATAAAATTGCAGTCACTCCATCCTTTTATTCCTGTATTACCAATCTGAGATTTTTCTTTCTCTCACATCTAGTGGAATATTTAGCTTTTCTGTCATTTAGAGACAAGGCTATTTTCACATGTCATAAAATAGCACCACTGACAATTTATAGAGGTTCAGTCTGACACTGTAACTCTTTACTGTTACCTAAGGTAAGCTGGTTCATTGTGGGAAGCAAATGGAAATAGGGCAGTGATGGCTCTATTGTGACCTCTAATCTACCATTTTAAGAGGCTCTGAAAAACAACTTACTCCTTCCTTTCCATACATCTGCATAGACATTTTGAAAATAGTACAACTTGCCAATGCAATGCTGTGTTCTTAATAGCATGGGCAAATCCAAACTGAAAAATAGATACTGTGGGCAAGACTTAGATGGGAAAATATAGTTCAGTATGGGAATTTGGGATGGTTTTCTCATTTTAATAGCTGTAATTCTCCATTCTTATATCAGAATGATGCCCTTCCTTCAGTAAAAATTCACAGTAAAGCACTGGATTTAAGGTAAACTATAGAGAAGGCAACTTACAGATTGTTTGGTTTCTGACTTTTGAACATACGAAGTGGATTAACTGAATTTAAAAGCCAAGGTATGACCTGAGAGATCAGTTTACCAAGGCCACTAGGGATTGGGGGCAGATGGCAGGTGACATCTGCTGAAATATCCTCCAGCTGTCTAGATTAGTAATAGGCAACCAAAAGGGAAAGGTTAAAAAGAAAGGGGTTGGGGGGGTGATTTAAAAGAGTTAATTCCTTTCACAATTCAAGGTAAGTCTCTCTTAAAGGGGTAAAGAAAAAAAAAATAACCATATCCCAAGAGGTAATCCACCAGCCTACAAAAACAAACTGTAACTCAAGAGGTTCTCCTGATGAAATTCAAATCTAAAGTTGCTTCATAGTTACTGGCAAGGTACCCTTGAAGCTTTTCTGTTTTGAGTAGCCAAGGTCGAGCTCTGCCCCACAAGTCCCACACAGCAGTGGGATGTAATAATTCCTACGTGTACTTGACAGGTACTAAAGTATCTTATCCTCTCCAGTTTCTTCTAATTATACTCAGAGACCGCCATTTAAATTGGTTTGCTTTCAACATACACCCCTTAATGCGTCCTGTCAGTCTAGGAATGTTCAGATTCTAGAGTATGTTACTTTTGAAAGAAGGGGAAAATAATTGCTATTTTTCTCTTCTCAGCTGGTAAACACAAGTGAAAACTTGAGCAAAAGTCGAAAGATTCTCCGGTCAATGTCCAGAAAGTAAGTTTTAAAAATAGTCACAAAATTAATTTCTCTTTAACACTAATGCCTTTCAGCCAAGAATGTCAAAGCTTTAATCTGTGACTTACAAAGCTCCTAATAAAGCTGAAGAAATAAAGAACATTGTCTTGTGTAAGACAGAATCTTTTGTTAAAAGTACACACTACACTGACCTGGAGCAGTGTAGAATTTGTCCACTGGAAGCACTTTTCATTCCAGCTTACGCTCCCTTAGAGAAGGCAGCATATGGGAGTAACAGAGCACATGGGAGTTTCACATTCGTAGAAACTTGATTAGAAAATTTCATTGCTCCTGCTTAGTACCCTTGCCTCTCCTTCTCTTCATGGGAGTCAGCCCATTACCTTTAAGTTCTCTCTTGTTAGCAAGAAGTTGACTAAAAAAAAACAAAACCAACAAAAATCCTTGATGTAAGTGCTGATGGCAACAAAATCAGGGGCAAAAGGGAAGTATCGCCACTGAGGATGAACGTGGGGTGATAGTGTGCATGAAACAAAACCACAGCTGAGTCACAGGACTAGCAGGAGAGAGAGATTTTCCGAAACAGTGGTGAATGGTAAATGCCTTGTGGAGTAGCGGGAAACCTTCAGTTTAGAGTGAACATGAGAACCACAGAGTGGATTCTTTTTATTAGCAAAAGACAGTACATTTTTTGTGAAGCGCCTATATTACCCTTGTAGAGAGATCCATTTGGGATCATGGAGGGGGAGAAAGTAGAGAGGCACTGTACCCAGCTTCTGGTGACTTAGGACCCATCCCTGAGCTGGATGTCAGCACTGGTGAGTCTGCCAGCAGTGCACCTCCCAGCGTGTGCTCACAGCTGTAGTATGGAACGGATGCAGCTCTGCATGGTTAGATAAGGATATTTAGTAGTTACTGTTATTTTGAAATATGATTCAGCCTGCTTTCAGAAATGGTATATTTTTTCATATTTTTCTAACTATACTCTCCTAGAAAAGCTAAGTAACTACTATTTGAAGACATTTTAAAATTAAAAAAAAAAAAAACAACCCAGAAAAAAACATTTTTATCCTTTGGTATATATTGCCCCAGCTTGCAACACTTCTGTGAGGTAGTGTTACAACTCCCTGTTACAGCTTCAGCAGCTTTTGAATTGTTACCAGCTAAAGAACCTTGTACAGGCTTACCTTTAATTATTGTGCTTTGCAGATGGTGCTTTTTTTTTTACAAATGGAAGGTTTGTGTCAAGCAATCTATCATTGCTTTTTTTCCAATAAGCTCAGATGATGGCTAGCATTTTTAGCAATGAAATATTTTTAAATTGAGGTAATGAACATTATTTTTTTAGACATAATGTTATTGTGTACTTAATAGGCTACAGTCTACTATAAACATAACTCATATGCACTGGGAAACAGAAAAATTCATGTGACTGGCTTTGTTACTCTATTTGTTTTGTTACGGTGGTCTGGAACCAAACCTGTAGCATCTCTGAGGCCTTCCTGTATATACTTCCTGCAAAGTGGTCATGAGGCGAAACAAAAATTCAGTCTGCCTCACATTATCTAGCCTTGGCCCTAAGTCAAACCTTGTTGCTTTTGTTTGTAGAGTGACAACCAACAAGCTGCTACTTTCCATTGTCATCTTATTGGAGCTAGCCATCCTGGGAGGCCTGGTTTATTACAAATTCTTTCGCAAGCATTGAACTTCCTGCAAGAAGGGTTTGTGGACCAGAACTTTGGCCCTGTGAATGAATGGTGTTAGAGACGTGGAATAAGCATATTGCTGCTGTGAGCTAACGGTTCAAGGATGCACTGTATAGCCAGACTGTGGGAAGCGGGAGGGAAGACGGAAAACCAGTTACACATGAAGGAACAGCAACAAGAACATTGTGATATAACAAGGTAATAAATGCTGTTTATGACTTCTTTAAATTTACATAATACTCCAACATATTAATACCCTGTGAACTGCAAAAAATCAAATACATTTGCAGTATAATTATTGGTCACCAAAATGGAGAAGGAAAGGAAGCTTTACAATTGTGAGAATATGCAAATGTTCTCATTAAGGCAGTGTTGACCCAGATGACCTCGTAGTGTCTGTCCCCTCGAACACCTCACAACTCTGGAATGCCCATTGTGACAAACATGTGTCAGCATACAGTGTTTGCTAAATTCTCACACGTTCTTCATTTTCTGACTCATGTGGTGAGCTGGGAGTAGGCAGTTGGTCATAGACATTGTGCCCTCCCTCCCTTGTCTGACCAAAACTTGAAGCAATCACGTCCACTGCCAGGCCGGCCGTGGCCTTGGCGTCTCCCTCTGAAGCGGCCAACCGAGGGTTCACTTCAACAAGATCCAGTGCTGACAGCAGCCCTGCGGGGACAGAGTATGACAGAACCTCAGAGAAGTCCTAGCTGCTACTTTCAGCGAGGGCCACACCGCCTGGACAGAACAAGCCAAGGTTTAGAACAAAAAACGGCATTTTCTGCTATAAAATTACCCACCGTCAGGAAGCCCCTTACACCTCATCCTCTTGGGCATGAATTTATTAAAACACTGCTATATTAGAGTAGGATTGAAAAACACATTCAAGATAATAAAATCAGTCATCCCTGTTCACTAACACAAGGCATAGCTGTCAGGCTTTCTGGAAAGAATAAAGAATGCGCTTTGGGGGGTGGTGGGGAAAGGAGTTGCCAACCTACTTGTTGGGAAAATATGTGCCATTTCCAGTATAAAGGAACCTTCCAGATGCCTGCCTGCGTGTAGTTGTGTGAAGAGAACTCCCACTTCTCACTAGCCAGACCTCTGTTCCCATTTTCGAACTCTGATGCTGTATCTGCATCTCTTAAAGCGCCACATGCCCTGAAGTATAATTATTACTGGATATCTTACTGGCACCCATGCAGGTCTGAGCCCTGCAAGCAGGTTCCACAGCTGACACTTTTTAGGTCTCCTGTCAGAATGACCCAGTATCTTATATTTGGTCAAGGGAACACCTGACCATACTTCAATTTGGACTCCAGTTGCCATCTCTGAGGGTTTGAGAGCTTGTGCCAGAGGGTTTGAGAAGGGACAATTAGATTGAAAGAACCTAACCAGATCTGCCTTCTCTCTCCCCAATCCCCCGCTCCCCACTTCTCTGGGGTAGTTAACTTTTTAGTTGGTTATCCTGAGTGAAGCTAATCTACCTCTTCAAGAGTTATCTGAACAAACTAGTATTTGAGAATACAGGTATGTATCTGAGAATATTTAGGGTGGCCATAAAGCCTGGACACGTGGGTGAAGTGAATATACCTAATAGTTTATTGATACCACATTATAATACATGACATACTCATTGCCATTACATCTGTTCAGTGTGCTGTCTCTCGTTAGCAGAGCATAGTTCAGTGCACTGCAAAACTGCGGAGAGCAGGCACGTTACTGTAGCATTTCCAACAATTCCTGCAGGTGCCATCTGTATCTCTGATAACTTGTGGCCTGCATTCCACTAACACTGGGCTTTCAGCATAGCTTAGAAGTAATCAAGAGGGTTTGAGCTATTAAAAATATATATCACTCATGTTTGTGGATTATTGCCACCCTATAAATTAGTTTAAACAAATTGTTTTATGTATCTAGTTGATAGTGTCATGACAGACATTCTTTTAGAATAGAGTAACATTACAGCAGGAGCAAGGAGGACAAGGTGTGGCCACTACTCCATCTAAGTGCCAGAGGTTCCTGACCCCTGTTTCCAGTGGTGTCACTGGAACCAAAATGGAGGACTGAACTCCCACTTTGGGTTAACTGGCCACTAACCCAAAGACAATGAACAGACATGTAAGATTATGAATCTGAGGATGAGACTACTTGGCCACTGTCAGACCTGATAGACAAGCATTCTTTTCCTTTTTGTACTGTCTAAGAGTCCAGTTAGTTCCAGAGTCAGGACACCATTTCTCAATTTCCCTCTATCCCAGGTCTTCGAGGCTTTCCTATAGCTCTGGACCTTTCAGTCTGGAGTCTTTGTGCTATTTAGACCCTAATTTCATGAGATGGTATTCAAGTATCATGTGGTAGTTTAAATTTTGCAATTAAAGTTCATTCACAGTAACTTTAAAACCAAAAGCTTTCTGACAGAAATGGAAACTGCAAGCAAGTTTGAGTGTTGGGACAGTAACCCCTTGATAGCCACTCTTGATGTTCAATCTAGTGTCCATCGTGCTGATTTTTTGTCAGGCATTCATTTAAACCTCCTATTAAATAAGCTCCAGTGTAAGACTTACCCTACATGAAAGGACCCAAGGCATTGTAGCATTAAAATATCTTCCAGAGAAGCTTTAATTCCACTGTCCCAACTCCCAGTAAACCAACCTCTTAATTTAAGGTTTAAATTACAGCTGGACTTGCCTTTTAATCTTAATCTGTCTCTAGACAGTTCTCATGCAAAGAACTATGTTAGTTTGGCAGGTTATTCTTGTATTTAGTAAGTGTTTGAGAAGACAGGTAACTTTTTATTCAATATCACCTTACTATATTTTGGTATGAGACCCAAACATACTTTTAAATGACTATCCCTTATTAGTTTGACTTTTAGCTATAACAAACTTAAGCCAAAAAAAAAAAAAAAAGTCTACAGTGACATGTAATAGAAAAGATTCCCCTGGCAAACAAGAGGCTTCAGCATATTTACTTATGTAGCGAGCAGGTTGATCACTACTTACCTGTATTGTGTATTTCCTCAGTAATATACATGCCTTCTCGATAGGTCAGACCCCCTACAACAGGGGTTCCTGTGGCTGGAGCCAGTGTAGGGTCAAATGCATCAATATCAAAACTTAGATGAATTGGCCTTTGTCTTCTTGAAATGAGAAAGAGAATAGTCATTTGGTTGTGCCTGAACATTCGTGCTTCCTACAGATGCAACTTTGATTTTGTTGCTGTTAGTCTTGGTAATTTGTTAATACAGCAGATTTCTAGGTTTCCTATTTTAGAAGTTAACTGAATATTTGCATATTAGCTTGTATATACCATTTCCTAATTTTGTCATTTGTTCTGTGTGCCTCAGTCTAATTCCAATTTATATTTCTGACTTACCCTGAGCATTAAAGCGTCTTACATTAATAACTAAGTAGAGGGAATTCTTCACTTCCGTATGACCTTGGGCTCTGATAGATTCTAATTTCATTTGCTAATTACAGTTGCTTTTATTCTCTCATAGTGTAACAGCAGATGAACTTCATTCTGATTTTGCCTGCAACCCTGCCACCTCCCAGTTCTGATTTCAGTTTAGCCTGGGTGAACTAACCAGCTGAACTAATGGCTGAAACTAACATACAACACCTATATGCTAAATAACTAAATTTTTTAACAGGTGGCAGTTAATTAGTCATCCAAAAATGCAGACTCAGCACTGGGAAAATGCTCTTGAAAGTAGCATTTGATTAGCATTCATCTGCCATCTTTATCCACTACCAAGTTTTGCTTAATATAAAACTTCCAGATGAAGAAATAGGCTAGGAAGAATGGGCAGTTGGAACAATGGATGCTTCTTATCTCAAAATATAAGCATTAAAAATGGAGCTAAAGAGAAATTCATGAGAGATAGAGGATCTGGGCAATGACTTCAAGGAAACCCCCCCTCTCCAAACCCCAGAGGAAGAATATGACTTATGTTTTATAATCTCCCTTTCTAAATTATTTGAATTTGTAATATGTATGTTTTGCTTTTATTTGAAAGAAAAGCTACTATCCTCAAGAGAAAAGCTAAAGTATGCTGCCCACTGGGAGCTGCTTTGTTCCCCTGGGAACCTAGGCATAGATAGCTGTTATACTTACTTGCCAATCAGCAGATCGAATGTCTGTTCCATGACCTTCTGTATACCAAGTCTGTCTATGTCTCTCATGGAAAAATACTGGATATCATAATTCTTTAAAATAAAACTGTGATAAGATATAAAGGAAAGAATCCTTAGTTTAAACAGCATTTTTAATCAAATGCACATTTAGAAGGGGTTTTGTCTTTTTAGTGATCTTCAACAAATTAAGGCAAGGAACAACCTATCAAATGGAACATAAGTGGCTGGGAGAGGCCCAGAGTTTACCCCTACATATCAACTTACTGTTCAGGAGGGTCCACATCTCTTAGACCAATATACACAATACTTGGGGAAGAAAGACAAGGTTTGATCCAGGAAAACCCTGGGAGCTGTGGTACCTATGAAGAGAGGAATAAACAGGATTCAACAAGGACTGTTGGTCTCACCAAGATAATCGCTGTGTGCTTCCCACTGTATGCAGTCTGCTTTCTCCCCCTACCTACAGGGTATGCTTAATACAACACCAGACACACTTGATCTGGGAAAGAGAACTGATACAAGTCGAACTGACTCAGAAGGACAACTGAAGAACACAGTAGAGCTTTCTCAAGAGGAATTAAAAGAATAAATCTTTTCTCCTAAAGTGGTCTCAGTTTCTCATTAACTTAGCTGAATAGCAGGAATACTGCTGATTAACCCTTTTTACAGTACTGAATTATTTACAGATTGGGTCTTGAAAAATAATCCAGTTGCCATCTCAAGTTGCTTACAGCCAGGAAACAAATTCCGCCTAATGAATAACCTTTGTTATTCCTGGTTTAACTTGGTCCCTCACTGAGGGGAGGAATAAACAGATTCTAGTCTATGCCTGGACTCCCAAGTCTTTCGAACAGCCTAGAAAAATAGAGGTAATGGTGATTTTGCTTGGATTCTAGACCAGTAGGTCTGAAAGTGAGGCCTGTGAGCCTCTAACCAGGAAGTCTTTAGGCAGTGAGTCTGTCATTCACTAGAGCTACCTAGTACCACCTGCCTTTCTTAAACAATTACAAACTCCCTGAAATTAAATTCCCTGAGAGTTGAAATTAAAAATACCCTGGGAGTTGGGAGAACCTTTCCGTCCCATAGCATCTAACA